CATAGGTACCATTGCAAAACTCAGCTCCAGCATCGAATGTTTAAGAGAAAATGTAAGATTTCTTATGGGATGTTTCTGTTTACATTGTGAAAAATAGATATGCATATATGCAAAAGTTATTCGAGTCTGCAAAAAAGGTATAGCTAAGAATATGTAAAACTTTAGACTTTGGCGTGCAGCTGATTATTTCTATTGTTAAGGAACTATAAGCCTGATTTTGATTCCCTCTTTAATTTTGATAAATCCCAACCAATGTGCCATCTCAGTTTGTATGTGCATTTATCTGTCTCAAGAGAAGTATGATTTATTGGAATGAGGGAAGCTCAGGTAAAACACTGATGAGACATAATAGTCTGAACACTATTTTAACTCTCCTTGAAACTTTCATGTTTTTTAGCTAAAATTTCCACACAATCCTTGAAATTTGCTGGCTTTACTTTTAATTTTATTAATCTTTTAAGCACATATTATGTAGGGCTCCTGTGATGCTCCTCCTAATATTCCCCATAGTTCTGTGTCACCATGAGGAAACTTTTCCTGTGCCTGCCAGGGGTCAGCTACCGAACTCTACTAGCAACACAAACACTTCTGTCTACGTTCATAATAGTCGCAGCCCAACCCGAAATTCCCATGAGCACCCCACTGGAGCATTCAGGTGCTAAGCTACCAGACGCGCATAATATTCATAGATTTTTCTGCTTCCAAAGTACTCCCACCTTACTAGTTTCACCTCAGATGAACATTCTTTTTAACACATAGAACTTACACATGTTGAGAGTGAAATCGGTTAGAAATCTATTAACAGTGCAGAGATTCAGAACAAATAATAAGGATAAGTATTAAAAACAAATCATAACACATTCTACTTAACTAGGTACTATCACGCCTATGAGTGGGCATTGCTCACCTAAAGCACTTGAAGTTCTTTATATCCAGGCTTGGCTGTGATTCTCTTTTCAGAGATAGACATGCTATCTGTTTGTCACCTAGGTGAATGACACTATGAGTTTCTTTGCTTCCAAAGGTATACAAGTCTCATCTTTTGTCTTCATTCATAAACAGCACACTGCTGACCTTGCAGTTCTTATGTTTCTTCCCAAAGATATTTTTTCTTGTACATTTCACAACCTTTTGACTGGCACCTAGCTGAATATATAAATAGGCCTCCGCTGTGAGGAAAACAATACACATATAATCAGAGAAGGAGATAAAGCATCTGTTGCCTTCTGCCAGAAAGGACCATGTTTGAGGCATGTCACCTGATGGTGCATGCCCAACTTAACTTCAAGATCTTAACATACTTCTTAGTATCATATATAACTCTTTAAATATTATTTGTGCATACATTTTGCAATGATTATGACTATTGGCTCTTAGTAAAGATTTTAAATGCCACCTGAAATATTATGCATAATTCTGGCCCAGGGAATTCCTTCCTGTATGCCCTTTTTTTCTGCCACTTGACATCAACAGGTTATTGGGTCATAGTCATTATTATGAGCCTTGTAAAATATAAACATATGCAAAATGAGAGCAAGTGATTTGTTTGGGGGATAAAAAGTTTAAAATTTTACAGGTATCACAGCACATGATAAAAGGCTCGTTTTATTCCTACTTTTTTGTCAAATGTACAGTGTTCATCTTTAAATAAATTGTTAAAATGCTCAAAAATATAATTATGTTTTTCAGACTTAAGCAATTATTACCAGTCTTAATACTTTATAACTGTACAATGCCTCAGGCACATACTCTCTGTGTTCATGAATATTAGAAAGAGAAAGTCATAAATCTATAATCTGAACATAAATATCTTCCAAGTTGCCTCCAGTCATGGGGTTTTACTAGTAGTCACATATCTTTTAATCTGTGTACTGCTGTGTTTATTTGCCTCCCTCCAACTTTTTGTCTGTCTACATGGTATTTCTACCTGCTGTCAGTCTATCAACCCATTACTTTCCTAATTAGTAAAGATTATTGTTGATGACAGAGAAATGATGAGAACACCTACTGTTCAATGTCATTCAGTGAAATAGCTACAGAGTAGATAGTGTCATGCTCTTGCCAATGACCCTTAAAAGGTCCAAAGCACAAAATAAACTCCATCCTTGCTATTCTGCGCAGGAATCATGGACAGTTGCAGCTCTTACGTTTTCCTGGGTGCCAGCCACAGCACCCAAACACAATCCCAATACTATCATCTTAAGAAGTGGGTTGTGCCCTGGAAAGCTCATGATACTATATACATTTTTTGTTAGTCTTTAAGGTGCTGCTAGACTATTTGTTGTTTTTTAGGTTTTTCCACAGACTAACTCGGCTACCCCTCTGAAGTGTCTGATACTATCTGCAGCATTAAGCAGAAGAATAGCAGACAGGCCAGGAAAAACGATCCCTGTCACTAGAGCAGGCACAAAAATCTGGCCTTTCAAGATAATACAAGGTAAAGAAACATCCTAGGTGCATGTGTCCTACATAAGAAAACACAAAGCCTTTTACCTAAAAGTCTCCACAAAAGAGTTGAACAAAATAAAGGAGATTGCAGGAGCTTGTCAGGTGGCATGGTCATGAATACTGTAATAATTGTTCCAGCCAATTTCTATGACTCCCAGGACACCAGAAACACGGGAGCAGTTGCTGAAATGAACTACAATGCCTTGAATAAATTTCTGCAGTTTTCACATACCCCTTAGAAAACCGTAGGGAAGAGAAGGAGAGGACAAGGACTCCCTAGAATCTTTCTCCTAAGTGTGTAGGTGGAGCAATAGTAGTCATATTTGAAGTTAAGTCCATTGCTGGAGATGACAATCTAGGGAAGGCAGTTTGGATTTAGGATTGGCGGAATTTTTGATACCTAATATTTTAAAAGATAACATCAAATGGATTTTAGGGAGGGTGGCAATGTGGTGGGAAGAGTCGAGGTATCTCTTCCTATACTTTTTTGAGAGACTTGGTGAGAGCCAACCTATTGGTCAAGGGAGATGCTGCCATTCTGGCTGTGACTGATACCAGCTCTGAAACAGCAGCTTGCACTGCACTGTTGGTGACTCAGCTCAGTTCAATGGCAACAGCTTAAGTGGGGCCTGAACTCAGCTGAGCCATGGTAGTTGCTGAGTGGCACAGATGGGAATCACTGGAACAACCAAACCAAGGGCAAGGTGCAGCAACACTAAACAAGACTCTGAGCCTGCCTAACAATATTTTAACATTACTTTTATAGTTTCATAAGGGCTGGGCTGGTGGGTAGGCAGCAGCCATTCCAGGTCTGGAATAGTCAGGAGGCTTGGATTTTGGAAAAGATGTGGGAGGCAGCAGGGATCAGGCTTGGAATGGAGGATGCCCAGTCCAGGATGGCTGGTGGGAAGGGAGGCTTTGGAGCAATTGCTCCCTGAGAGTGAAACTGGTTTGTGGTCAAATAGGGGCAATCCACAAGATTCGGGCTGGGTTTTGTGGGTGTGAGGGACACTTGGGGAGGAGAGGGCCTTGTGACTGTCAGGTAGATATGAGTGCCCCCATCCTAAAGAGGATTGTGTTTTCACATACAGCAGTCCACTAAGATGCTGGTCCATTTTCAGATTACCTCCCACCCATGCCTATCCCCAAGTCTATTTTTAAATGTTTTTTCTCTCTTCTCCCGTCTCCTTTTTAATCCTAGTATGATGTATGACCATTCAGGCATGATCTACATTAGCAAATTCAGTTGGTATAACAATGTCACTCATGAGTGTAAAAAATCCATACTCCTGACCATTGAGCTCTGAATGTAACAAGCTTTCATAAAAGAGCTTCCTTGACATATTTATACACAGAAATTTTAACTCAATGATTTACTCTTTGGGGTTCATACCTCTTGATCAAGAGGTTGATACCATGTGAATGTGTTGCTTATTCAGTATTAAGACTGTACCTTGCACAGGAAGGCTATATAGAGCCTAGAGGGAATCTGCAAAAATGAATCCTTAATTCAAGTATGAATGTCAGCACTGGGATAAATCATATATATGAAGGAAAATATCTCTGCATGACCATCACCAGGAATCATCTGGAAAGACTATGTACTAGAACTTGCAGAGGGCATTGCAGGATGCAAACATAAATAAAACTGAGATGTACAGCATACTTCTTTGTGGAAGCTGCACATTCATTCAAAGTTGAAAATATTTTGCAAGGTGCCTTCAGTAAACATCTGGTAAATAAGTGGATGAACCTAGAACTTGCAGTAGCATATCAAGGAGATGTACATTCGGACCATGGACAGAAATGCATTCTGCTCTCTTAAGAGGTTGAAAAATGGCCTCACTCAGCCATACACAAGAGAACTCAGTACATCTCTGTGATGATAACCAAAGAACTTCTCTGTTCCTCAATTTACCTATCTGTAAAAGGGATATAATATAATACCTCTATGTAAAGTGGAAAAGTATTATAAAATCATTAATGACTATTTGAAAAGTGATAGGAAAGCCTCACTTGAAAGGTTACACGTCAGCAAAAAGTAGCTTATTTTTCATTGAGCATCAACAATACCAACTTCAGTAGTAACAGAAACTAAAAAAACCCAAATATATAGAGACAATCTCATTCTCAGATTCTTTTGTATTAAGACACAGTTGTTCAAGAAAAGAACCATAAACTATTGAAATGCACCAGCAGTGAAGTCATGGAACAATTAAAGTTGTATGACTATCCAGGAAGCTAGATCGGTTGAGAAGACTACCAAGAATGAGGTTAACAAAGATTTGTTTTAGCTACAAGTGCTTCACAGAAGTTGATAAAATTATAGACTGATAAAAACATTACCGTCTTTTCGTGAATATACGGTGCACCCGAATATACCCCGCGGGTTTTGCCGTTTGAGTTTAGAAATCCCTGTATACCCATGCATGAGTATAGCCTGTGGGGGGGGGGGGGGGTATTTATTCGGGTGCGGATATATTCCTGCCTGCCCCCGCTCCTGTGCACCATGGCCACCTGCAGCCTCCTGCTGCTGGCCGCGACCACAACTGCTCCGAGGTGTGGCAAGGGGGCTACAAGGAGGGCTTGCAAGGGGCGCAGGGGAGCTTGCAAGCGGGTTGCAGTGGGAGGGGCTGCCAGGGGCCACAGGCAGCTTGCAGAGATCCACGGCGTGGGCCACCCACCGCTCGGGACAGGGCTCCGGGCTCCTTCCCTTTGTCAGCCCAGGCTGGGAGCCTCCCGCCTCTGCTGGGGATGCCTGTGCCCCGGCTACGGAGAGTGAGCCGGGCTCCCGGGCAGACTTTACCTCCTGGGAGAGCCACACGGGGAAAAGTTACTGGCCTGCGCCCCCGCCCCCCTTGTTCAGCCGCGGGCTGTTCAATCCGGCCCCGGCTCTCTGCGGGGGCAAAGGTGTTTGCAGCTCTCAACCCCAGCCCGGCAAAGGCTCAGCCGGGAGGGGCTTTCAGAGCGGGGGTGGGGGCTTTCTCTGAGGCATGTGCTGCATGGCCTGCCTGGGAGCCTGATCCGGCTGGGGGAGCACTCACTCCCCCGCGGTTGCTTTCGGAGGACAAGCCTTCCGGCGAGGGAAACACTCACCGCCCGGTTCCAGCGCAGCCGCACTCACCCCCAGGTGAGTAAGAAAAGTTTTGTATACCCCGCACCCGTATATACCCCGCGGGAGGTGGGGCGGAGTGGGGTGCGGGGTTTGTAAAAATGAATATAACCCGTGGGTTATATTCGCTAAAATACAGTAAGTTTGGTATCAAAGTGCAAATGTATCAAACTAATGTACTAGCAGTATTTCGCCATGGTCTTGAAACAGCTGCATAGCATGAAACAGACATCAGAGGGCTGCAGGCAATGCAGGTGAGAGTTCTTTGGAAAGCGAAAGGTGTAAAGTGAAATGATTTTAAGATAAATGACGAAGTTCAAAGGAGAGTGAGGTGTGACGTGAGGGAATGTGAGTATCGGCAAATGAACAGATGATGATGGTGAGGTGACTGCAGAAGACAAACATGACAAAGTGCCAAAGAAAATAAGGCAAAGTCAAATCAGAGCTAGAGGCTGAAGACCAATAGAATGGTGGGACAAGGTACATTGGCTAGGCTAGACTTAGTGGAGGAAAATATCATGGAGAGTAATGAACAGTGACACTGTACTGCTCCCCGTGCTTGTAAGGATTCTTTGAGATGACATGAAGAAGAAAAAGTACAAGGCGGCAGATTTATGCTTTTTAAACTGCTTACAACCTGTTTGATTTATGAATTTATTATTATCACAGTGCCTACAAGCCTTAGTTATAGACCCAGAAGCACACTGTGCAAGGCTCTGTACACACAGAACAAAATGTCCCTTCCCTAAAATGCTTACAGCTTAAGTAACACGTTTACAATTAGAATAGTGTATCATTAAAGCAATATTTTGGCAAAAATCTATTGTACATTTTATAAGCCCACAGTGTTTTTTCAGGGTGTCTGTTTCTCATGCAGGTCAGAAAACAGGCTTTCTTTTGTCTAAGACAGAAGACCAGTTAGCACGGAAGAAATGAGTGGCTCAATATAATTCAAGAGTCCATACAGATAAATGATTCACTCAAACTCAAATAAATATCATATTTTAGAAGTGGATAGAAGGATGAACAAAAAAAGAGTCTCTTAATCCACATTCAGAGTTCACCTGTCCCTCAGGCTATGTCTAGACTGCAGGCTTCTTTCGAAAGAGCCTCTTTTGAAAGATCGCGTCTAGACTGCAGGCGGATCTTTTGAAAGAGAAATCCGCTTTTTCGAAAGAGAGCACGCAGCGAGTCTGGATGCTCTCTTTCGAAGACGGCCTATTTACATTGAAGAACGCCTTTTTCGAAAGAGGAACTTTCGAAAGAAGGCGTTCTTCCTCGTAAATTGAGGTTTACCGCCATCGAAAGAAAAGCCGCGTTCTTTCGAAATAATTTCGAAAGAACGCGGCTTGAGTCTGGACGCAGGGGAAGTTTTTTCGGGAAAAGGCTACTTTTCCCGAAAAAACCCCTGAGTCAAAAGAATTCTCTCTTCTACTTCATTTTAATAGCCTGTTTCCCACAAACACATGCACCTTATTTGTCCCCCCTCTATGGATCTGGAGTTCTGTTCTTCTGCTGGGGTTAGGGAGTGTGGTTGCACTCCCTTACCTCTCAGGAGCTAAGGTGGGCTAACATACAACATTATGATTTAATTGACAAATAACTACCTCAAGCTGCATAACCTTTTCTCTCCTCTATGCAATGTACACATTCTTATGGAGGAGCCAGCACAACCTGTGAAGAAATTCTGGTGCTGCACCTAGAGAAAACCTACTGATAGTGAAATGGGAAGATCCACCAGAGATTTTGGTGTTGCCACAGAGCCTCCTATCAGAAGACACTGTTCTCCCAGAGATACATGGGCTAAACCTCATGGCTGCATCTAGACTGGCATGATTTTCCGCAAAAGCTTTTAATGGAAAAGTTTTTCCGTTAAAAGCATTTGCGGAAAAGAGCGTCCAGATTGGCACGGAGGCTTTTGTGCAAAAAGTGCTTTTTGCGCAAAAGCATCCGTGCCAGTCTAGATGCGGTTTTGCGCAAGAAAGCTCTGGTGGCCGTTTTCGCCATCGGGGCTTTTTTGCGCAAAACAGTTTCTACCTGTCTACACTGGCCCTCTTGCACAACAGCATTTGCGCAAGAGGGCTTTTTCCCGAGTTGGAGCATCAGTGTATTTGCGCAAGAACACTGACAATCATACATTAGATCGTCAGTGTTCGTGAGCAAATTCAAGTGGCCAGTGTAGACAGCTGGCAAGTTTTTGTACAAAAACAGCAGCTTTTGCACAAAATCTTGCCAGACTAGATGCAGCCCATATGTTTTATGGAGAGTAAGTTGAGATTAATGTCAAAGTCTGCCTCTTGCAGTTCTCCCCAGCAGAAATATTTAAAGGAAACTGACAAGACAAAATTCAAGGAAATTTCCTCTTCCTGTGTTCCATCATCCTGGTCTATCTCTGTAGCAACCAAGCAAAATCCCACCTCACAATGTATTTAAAGAAGGTGAATACGTTCACTTAGTTCCCATATGGAATATATTAATGCCTTAGAGTAAACAAAATCAGTTTATAAAGCAAGTATTTGCATGCTGTCAACTATGTGAATTTAAGATGACCTAGGAACATATTTCCATTAAGTACAGGATCTATGTTCAAGCTCCACTGGAATGAGTTTCTCTGAATGTCAGCAACAATTGTGAGTAAGAAACTCACCTATGACAAATAAAAGGAAGAGACACTGGGATTTATGTGATTTTAAATGCTTTGTAATAAACATATAGTTTATAGTCCGCATGTGAAAACCCTCATTGAACTTGGACAAGCTCAATAGTGCCATTTGACCAATGAAATGTGACATATTGACACTAAATAGTTCAATTCACCACCTATGAAAAATTGAAGCTGATCTTGGTATGCCAGTTATGCCTCTAATAGAACTATTTATTTGTTTAAAAATATACAGATTCATACTATATAATGTTTTGTTTGCTCCCTGGCATTATAAAGGGCTTTATGAATGAAAAACGTGTAATTCAATGAATGTGCGCAAATACCTCAGCTGTTACATCTGCAGCCTTGGATATCAGAACTTTATCTAGTTCAGATAAAACAAAACCATTGTATGTTTTTTCTGTACATAAAAAACAACCTGTTATATCATATCTGAATTTCAGATTTAAAGAAATAGCACAACAGGAAAGAACAACAATAAAGTTACAATAAGGGTGCAAAAGGTGTTGCTCTTCTGTAACATGCTAGAGGTTGAACCTCTCTGGTCTGGCACCCTTGGGACCTGACTGATCCCAGATGAGGGATTTTGCCAGACCAGAAGAGGACATATCTGACTCTCTCTACTACTTCTGCCCAGCCTTGGAGTGGCCACCAGCCTCCAGGCTAGCTCCCATCCCCCCCACTGCTGCCAGCCCCACTGTCCTGCTGGTCCCCACCCCCTCTTCTCAGCTAAGCCAAGTAGCTCAGCTTCAGCCCAGTTCCTAGAACATTAGGCTCCTGTCTCTGCTGGGCAGTCCCACTGCTGTGCAACAGGCTATGGCCCCGCTGGGTTGTACTAGGCAGCCTAGTGAGCCGAGAGCCAGGCATCTCAGCTGGGAGTCCAGCTGACAGCCCTCCACCAATACTTTCTGGTCCTAGAACATCTGTGGTCCTTCCAGAGCATGGAGACTGCTGGACCAAAGAATCCCGGTTTACCAAGGTTCAACCTGTACATCAGCTCTGCCTCACAGAACACCAGGTGCCTCTCTGAAAAGGGGATTGATAGAAATGGAATAGTACTGTCATAATAACCAGCAGATACCTTTAGTATGTCGATATCAGATGACCATTTTATAAACACCAAATTTTTTGAAATTTGATTTTTTTCATAGAAGTTCCTTCTTTACTTCTAGAAACCCAAGTTGACTCGTGCCCTTTCTGTGTCTTCTTTTATTTTTATCATCACCTATCCCATTTCCCTCGTTAATTCTTACCTTGTTTCAGAGGCCAGGAGTCCAGTTATCCTTTCCATATCTGGTGTCCTCTTTCTGAGGAAACCATTAGCTATTCCTTTTATCAATCAGTTTCCAGGACACAACCAGTTGGTCAATTGATTCCTCCTCTTTTTGGCTGCAGTAAGAAGTGCTGTTTTTCCATCCTCATCTGGGGGCTGGCTGGTAGGCCCGCTTTTGTTGAAATCCCTAGTGCAGATCAACTTTAAAAAGCCTTGCTGAGACCTGCTACTGTTCCTACTTAATATGCTCTAGGATTAAAAAGCCAGAGAGACCAAGAAACTATTTGGCAATAGTCAATTTTGTTGTGTTTCATCCTTTGCTTACTCTCGGCCCACATTTTCAATGGATTTTTAACTGATGTGCACATCAAATTTGCAGACGCAAGTGCATCAACTATATGCACAATCTGTACTTTGGAGTATAGAATGCTGAGAACAATAAAATATATTAATCAAATGTTATCATAGCTTCATGTACATAGTACCTCTGTGGCTAGACTTTGCAAAAGGAGAGGCGAACATGGGGTTTTTAAATTATTATTGGAACACGGTACTTCAAATGTCAGCTGGAGGGGAGGATGTGTGTCAGACAGAGAAGCTGGCAAATCTCTCTGCAAAGGACGTTTATTCCATCTGTTTTATCTGTTCTGGGAGAACATGGTGTTCTGTTGCTTTCAAAGCTGCTTCTTGGCTGGACAGCATAGGACTGTCTTTTCAGGCTGCATGTCAGACACATCATCCCCATGCCAGGTTAGAATAACAAGTGCTATTTACATGTGTAAGTGCTTAGCATTCTCTTCCCAACCAAATGGCATTCTGTACTGGTGAATTAGAAACTGGATGAGGAAAAAAAGTCCCCACTTTCCCTTCTTTGATTTAAGATATATAGAATTTAATTCTTCTGTTACGATATTTTTTTAAAAAAATAAGGGTGTGTGTGTGTGAGAGAAAGTGCTTTAAATAAAAAAGGTCATGTGTATAAAAAAGGTCATCCTTTCAAACTATTAAAACTGCATCCTGAAAACCTTAGGCATCCTATATTCCCATTGAAATTATGTGAAGTTTTGACTATGCAACAAA